ATAACCGTTACACTATGACATGGCCAATCTCCTTCCTTCCCACACTGCAGTGTCTCGTTCCTGGTGACGAGGCTGTAACCGTTAAAGTCGTTACATACAGTTATGGCTGTCAAACTCGATTCATATTTTGCAAGTGCTGCTGCTGTTGCTGTTCCACCCTGATCGTTAAGACCGTTAAAACCGTTAGAGCTGTTAACCGTTGTGGTCGTTAGACCCATCACCTAGGACAGAACCGCTAAGACATGTTTGTTAAAACCGTTATAAAAATTAAACCGTTTACGTACCGTTAAATAAATAAATAAATAAATACAGACTTTTCTACCTTTACAGCCTAACCCCAGGCATCTCCTCCTTCAAACTGCGCCTTCATCAATCTTCCTCATTTATCTCCTCCTCCTCCTCCACTTTATCTTCCTCCTCCTCCTCCTCACCGTCTTCCTCCACTTCATCTTCCTCCTCCTCCTCCTCACTGCGTCTTCCCCTTCCTGTCATTGGCTAAGGGAGACACCCCCTGGTACTGGCCGCCTGTGTACAGATGAATGACGCTATTAAGTTGAACCATGGATTCCCCTGCCCCCTCAACCACCCCTTGGTAGTTGAGTGTTCCATTATCCCGCGTAGTTGATGTGGTTGGCTGTTCCATTATCCAAGAATAGCGTGGTTGAGTGTTCCATTATCAGAATAGCGTAGTTAAGTGTTCCATTATCCAAGAATAGCGTGGTTGAGTGTTCCATTATCCAAGAATAGCGTGGTTGAGTGTTCCATTATCGGAATAGCGTAGTTGGTGTTCCATTATCAAGAATAGCGTGTTGTGTTCCATTATCCAAGAATAGCGTAGTTGAGTGTTCCATTAACCAAGAATAGCGTGGTTGAGTGTTCCATTGTCCAAGAATAGCGTGGTTGAGTGTTCCATTATCCAGGAATAGCGTGGTTGAGTGTTCCATTGTCCAAGAATAGCGTGGTTGAGTGTTCCATTATCCAAGAATAGCGTGGTTGAGTGTTCCATTGTCCAAGAATATCGTAGTTGAGTGTTCCATTATCCAAGAATAGCGTAGTTGATTCAGTTATTTAGCCATGATTACAGTTTTGCGATAAAATATACAATATACAGCAGTACAATACAATAATCTGAGTCAAAATAGATTACAGAGTCACAGGTGGAGTTAAATATTGATTACATTATACATCTCCCGTGTTTAATACATTACAGGTAGGCTCCCTGTTATTAACCCCCCGTCTCATAGTTCCAGAGAATAGCAATCTTGTTTTGTCTGTGTGTCTGTCTGTCTGTGTGTCTTTCTGTCTGTCTGTCTGGTGTCTTTCTTTTGACTAGATGATTTGGTTTTAAATAGAATAAGAAATTATACATACACTACATACATACATACATACATACATACATACATACATACATACAACATACACTAAATCTTCTCTCTCTCTCTCTCTCCCCCCTCTCTCTTCTCTCAGCCTCAGTGGTATAAACTGTACACCCTTGAGAGTGGCAGCCTCGGGGTTTGTCTACAGAGTAGATATGTTGTCCCTTAATTGTGGCCAGTGTGAGGTTCAGGGGAAGAGGAGGAGGGAGGATGGGAGGTGGTGGGAGTGGGAGGGAGAATGGGAGGTGGTGGTGGGGAGGGGAGGGAGGGAATGGGAGGTGGTGGTGGGGAGGGGAGGGAGGGAATGGGAGGTGGTGGTGGGGGAGGAGGTGGAGGAGGAGGAGGGAGTGGGAGGTGGTGGAAGAGGGAGAGAGGGAGGGAGGGAGTGGGAGGTGGGTGGAAGAGGAGAGGGAGGGGGTGGGGAGGGGGGGGGGGAAGGGGAGGGGGGGGGGGGGGGGGGGGGGGGAGGGAGGGAGGGGGAGGTGGTGGAAGAGGGAGAGGGAGGGAGGAGGGGGGGGAGGTGGTGGAAGAGGAGAGGGAGGGGGAGGGAGGGGGAGGTGGTGGGGAGAAAGAGGAGGGAGGGAGGGAGTGGGAGGTGGTGGAAAGAGGAGAGGGAGGAGGGTGGGAGGTGGTGGAAGGAAGGGAGGGGGAGGGAGGGAGTGGGGAGGTGGTGGTGGGGAGTGGGGAGGGAGGGAGTGGGGAGGTGGTGGTGGGGAGGGGAGGAGGGGGTGGGAGGTGGTGGTGAGGGAGGGGGAGGGAGGGAGTGGGAGGTGGTGGAAGAGGAGAGGGAGGGAGGAGGGAGGGGAGGTGGTGGAAGGGAGAGGGAGGGAGGGAGGTGGGAGGTGGTGGAAGGAGAGGGAGGGAGGAGGGAGGGGAGTGGGGGAGGTGGTGGAAGAGGGAGAGGGAGGGAGGGAGGGAGTGGGGAGGTGGTGGAGAGGAGGGAGGGGAGGGAGGGAGGGAGTGGGGAGGTGTGGAAGAGGAGAGGAGGGAGGGGTGGGAGGTGGTGGAGAGAGGAGAGGGAGGGAGTGGGGAGGTGGTGGAAGGGAGAGGAAGGGAGGGAGGGGAGTGGGGAGGTGGTGGAAGGAAGAGGAGAGGGAGGGAGGGAGGGAGTGGGAGGTGGTGGTGAGTGGAAGAGGGGGAGAGTGTGGGGAGGTGGTGAAAAGAGGGAGGGAGTGGAATGGAGAGGGAGAGTGGTGAAAGAGAGGGGAAGGATGGTGGTGGAAGGGAAGGAGGAAGTGGTGGTGGAAGGGAGGGAGGAGAGAGTGGTGTGGAAGGGGGAGGGAGGGGGAGGAGAAGTGGTGGAAGAGGGAGGGGGGAGGGAAGTGGTGGAAGGGAGGGAGGGGGAGGAAGGTGGTGGAAGGGGAGAGGAGAAGTGGTGGAAGGGGAGGGGAGGGAGGGAAGTGGTGGAAGGGAGGGAGGGGGAGGAAGTGGTGGAAGGGAGGAGGGAGGGAGGAAGGGGGGGAAGGGAGGGGAGGGAGGGAGGGAGGGGAAGTGGTGGAAGGGAGGGAGGGAGGAAGTGGTGGAAGGGAGAGAAGTGGAGAATTATTATCAGTATTATCATGTTTCTTACACATTAAATCCCAAGGTAATAATATTTTCATCAGGTGTGTTGACGTAATTATCTCAGTAAGGGTCATTAGTGTTACGTTGTTAACCCCGAAGGCTGGTTCACACGACCACCCTTAACGAGAGGGCTCTGGGTATTGTGTGTTTGATAATTGGTGGGTGGTGATGGTGGTGATTGTGGTGATGGTGATGGTGGTGAAGTGGTAATGGTGGTGGTGTGGTGATGGTGGTGGTGGTGGTGATGGTGGTGATGGTGGTGGTGATGGTGGTGGTGGTGATGGTGATGATGATGGTGTGGTGGTGATGATGGTGGTGGTGGTGGTGGTGATGGTGATGGTGATGGTGGTGATGGTGGTGGTAGTTGTTGTTGTTGTTGTAGAAATAATAATAATAATAATAATTCATTTGTTGTTATTATTATTATTAACTAAAATACTAACAATAATATATCACCATAAACATTAACAAAAAACTATATTATCAAAGCCTTTTATTAATGTTTATTCTTTACGATGTTAATTTTGGTCTAAACTTACGATATAATTTTAACACACGATTTCGTTCCCTGCTGAGAAAATAGTGTTGTGGTTTATAGCAAGATTTTGACCCTAATGACAGAGAGAATTAGGGGTCAAAATAAGTAAGAGTGGGACGTGTGTGTGTGTGAGGGGGGGAGGGAGGGTGAGGTGTGGTGAGGGAGGGGTCATGGTCTGGTCTGCCTCTGTGCCCCTGAGGTTTGGTTAGGTTTGGTTAGGTTAGGTGATGTATATTCAACGAGGAACCACATTTATAGACTTATGAAAGATATACATACATACATACATTCATACATACATACATACATACATACATACATACATACATACATACAAGTCTACACTCTCTACCTTGTGAGATTGTATACATACGAGTATACATAAACATACATATAATCTCATACGCGGTACAGGTGGTAATATGGCAGGTACTGTACCTCTCTGTACCTGTATTATTTACCTGTACCTGTATTAATTACCTGTACCTGCAACCTAATTAACGGATACAAAACCCCAAACAACAATCTGGTATCTGGGTAGAAAGTTGTGGTGTCAATCCATCAGCCAATCACAACTCAGGAAAATGACCTCCCCATGTATTGATTGGTCCGTTTTCTACCACAAATAATAGGACTCCAACAGCCAGCATGAGCCATTTAAAGATGAGAGATACGGATTATATATACCATTAGACCGCCATATTCACCTCCCATTTTTGGTTCTTTTGGAGTGACTTGATTATTTTGGTCATTATAATACAGCATTGCCTCAATTTCAATTCTCTCCTCTTCATTATACATAAAAAAGTATCATTATATCATTATATCATCATCATAGGTGTAAATATGATGTCATTATAGCCCAGGTGTTGTAATAATTAAGGTAATGTCAACCTTTGTATTTTTTTTAATTAATTAAGATCGTGTCATGAACGGGTGGGGAAATGAGGTAGAATCCACGTGTTTCCGGGTGTGGCGTCCGTTGATTGGTCCTTGCCTACTATGACGTCAGCTTGTGTTCCTTTTCATGGACAGTGATTTAAGCTTCTATGATCCAGCCTAAGCTTAATTTTTTTTATTTTGGCTTGATAATATCTAACCTGACCTGACCTAAGCTTAACCTTAATTTCCCTGACCTAACCCTGACCTAACATTACCTAACCTAACCTAATCTTTTTCTACCTATCCAATATAACTAGCCCTTAAACTCAGCATAACCAATAATAAGACATATACCGAATGACGTCACATCAGGCGAGCACCAATCACTAGCCGCCAGTACCCCGATACGAGAAGTACTGTGTTGAGGGTGAGATGTGACCCTTTGCATGAGGTTGATATTACTTTGAGTATTACATCAGCTGGGTGAAGTAGCCTGGTGGGCAGGTTTTAGGTTGCATGAGACCACTGCCTGATATTACTCCTCCAGGGGCTGCGACAGACACACACGTACATACACGTACACACACGTCCACACACGTCCTCCCTCTCTTCATCATCTCCCGTCTTTTCTCCTGTAGGTGGTTCAGGAGTACGAACGAGCGGTTATCTTCCGCCTCGGTCGACTGCTAAAGGGCGGCGCCAAAGGTCCCGGGATCTTCTTCATCGTCCCCTGCATCGACTCCTACAGGAAGGTCGATCTGCGAACCGTTTCCTTCGACGTGCCGCCCCAGGAGGTAAGATGATCCACCTCAGCATGTTTTTAAGAAGAGTTTTATGTTTATTTAAGTAATCTTGTGCCGAATTTAATGACATAAACATAATCGAGGGTTGTGTTTTTATTTCAGCCGTGTTGTTATGTGTTCACAACCTCTTATTATTACAGGTGTTCTCAGCCCCGAGTTATTGAGGGAGAACATGCACTGAAGACCTCAAGCAGAACACATTAATAATATTTACCATTTTCAGTTGTTGGTCGAAGCTGTTGCAGTAAATTTTGGTGTGTGACTTTGTATTTTTATTTAAAGGGGAAAGAAAAATAAATCGTCTTTCAGGATTTATTTTTTTGTCTTGGCGACTCGTTAGTGAGTATGACCGATCACTTACGATGTTAGTTAAGGAAAGATGCAGATCCTTGCGATTAAATTTTATTCTGATAGTCCTTCATGATAGCTCTCTGGCTGTCAGTTATTTCTCTTATCAGTTCATCAGCGACTTGGAGTATGAGGTGTAAAGTAACACTCGAGGGTGTTAAGAGGCCCTTCAGCTGCTCCTCCCACCCATCCTTCAAGTCGCTCATGTTGTTGTTATTAAAAAATCTTCAGATCAGACCTTACGAGTATCTTATGGTAGTTGGTAGGCTAACAACTTCATTCTTCAAGAAGCCTTCCCTCCCCTCCCACTTCGTCCATGTTTCTCGTCTCTTCCCCCTTCCCTCCCACCCTCCTCCTCTTCTTAGCTCTCACACACCGGGATGCCCAGCTAGCCTACCTCGCCCCCCCTCCTCACCCCCCCCCTTAGCTCTCCGTACTGACCCCCTCCCCCATGTTAACTCTCCCCCCTTAAAGCTCCTGTCTCTGGATTCGGTCTCAGTAACTGTAGACGCTGTCATCTACATGCGAGTGTGCAGTGCCATCAATGCTGAAACCAACGTTGACGACTACAGGTGCCAGTTCCTGTGGGGGACCGCCTTGGCCCACTCCTCTTCGCTGAGTAGTGTTCCTTTGCCCACAATGCCAGCCATCTGCCAGGCCAATTATTCACTTTTTTTTATCCTTAAAATTGATGATGCAAATTATATTTTTTTTATATATGGAGATGTTGATTAGTTGCGGTGTGCTGGGGCTCACAAGCCAGTGTTGCCAGGGTAGGTGAGTCACCCCTCGCTCCAGGGATAATTCACTTATTCTAGCAATAAGTGTTATCGTGATTTTCAGCAACTGTCACTAGTTTATGAAATGCAAGACTCGTCAGTGTATGCTTATTATTGTTATTATTAAAACGTATTTATTTATTTATCACTTCAACTATTCTTGCATATCAAGAACACAATTAGCCATTATTGATAAGCTAAGATTATTGGAATTAAAAGAGCGCCTTTGTGATGGCTCGCATGCTAGCTACTACAGCTCATTCCTTCCCCGGGACCAGTCGAAGAAAGCAAGAAACGAGTCTACACATAAAAAAAAAGACCAGTTTAGATGTATTTCAGGTAGGACAGAAGACACTCAGAACTCAAACCCAGATTCCGGAACGGCACTTAAGGTAGCCAGAGAGAAGTGGAAGAGGAGGAAGGTGGAAGAGGAGGAGGAAGCCCTTCTGAGGCTAAATTAAGCGCCGTGTCTGAATCCGTGTCGTGAACTCTAGCTTCGACTTGGTCTTAAAACGGGTGTTTCTGTTAGCCATGTTGCCTCTGTTGGTGTATGTCTTATGCCATTAGTGGCCGACAGCCGTAAGATCATCAATCTGACGTCACCATTATCAACTGTGTTAATGTCACATCCAGTGTAGGGTGGATTGACCAGTCGTTAACTGACCCATCAAGGAGACTAACTATACCGGGTCGCCATCTCGAGGAAGGGGCACTATCTCCCCTCGCCCCCTCACGCCACCGAACTCAAAATAACAAACAATTGACTCAAAATCTCACCAAATTTCAAGATACTATTTAACAGAAGATGTCACTAGTAATGGCGGGGCAGGAAGGGGTGAGGCCCAGAGGAAGGGGAGAGGAGGAACGTTTTGTGCCCCCTATCGCCGAGAACGTCGACCCGGTAGGAACGTGTGCATGCTCGTGGTCGTAACTCACACGCTCAGCACCGTTCTTTCGTTCCCGCGTTTGTTCACTGTTCTTTCTTCCGTTCCTCAATACCATATCTCCCCTGTGTTTACGTTGAGCAAGTTATTCTCTTCATTTTGTCCACCACCAGTTACTAAATGTGTGAACATAAGAGCATAACCAACCATTAAAAACAAACTGTAGAATAGACTGTAACAAAACGGGTGCTGTAGATGTTGTTTTAGGGGTGTATAATATTTTAGTTGTGTTTTTTGTTTAATTTATATATTTTTTTTTTGTGGTGAAAGAAAAGGTACTCCATATGACTTGAAATTTCACCTCTATAACAAAGGTTTAATACACATGTTAATTTCCTATCGAGAAAATGTGTGCTGTCAGATACCTCGATATTTTTTTTTTCACATTTGTACGTTTGTCAGACTGGAGACCAAATGAGATTTTTTTTTATAATAGATTTTCAAGTAGATTTAATTAGGATTTTTAACTCTTTTTTCTATGATTATTTGGATTTTTTTTTTGGTGTGTGTTTTTACAGGGATTTTTTTTTTCTTCTGTGATTTTTCCATTCGAGGTTTAACTACAGTAGTAGAGAGAACTAAGGCCCAAGGAGTGTTTAATGGCCGTTCTCCTCTACTGCAGTTGTTCACTAAGTATTATTTTTACCACTTTTAGGAATATTTCTATTTTTCACTTAGATTATAGATTGTGTACTATTTTTTTTCCTTCTATAACCTATGTAACCTGTATAACTTTCTGCGTCCGGGAGGTTATCGACCTCTTGATCTGGAGTTGTCATGTGTGAGTGCTTAACCTCGCCTCCAACGTGGGGGTATGTGGCGCCATCTCTTGTGTTATTATGTGTATCTGTAGCACCTAGACGTACTCCTCTCATCCTATAATGATTACAAGATTGAAGGTGGCTCTCTCAGTGGCCTTCTTCTACCACCTCCTCCTCTACGCTGGTGTTAGGAGGCGTTGTTTATGTCTCAACCTCTAACAAGCATCTAACACCCCAAGATCCTGTCGCTGGACTCTGTGCCGGTGTCCGTGGAAGCGGTCATCTACTTGAGAGTGTGCAACCCCACCAATGCTGAGACCAACGTAGATGACTACAGGTGCTGCCCCGACCTGCCGCCGAACCACTTTTTTTAATTCTTTGTTTCCTTAGATGCTCCTTATTTTAACACCTACCACAGCGGCTGGGTTCAACCTCCGACCCACCAGCCATCCAAGCGGGTGTGCTCTATTAGGCTATGGTATAAAAGCTTGCTGGCTAGTTAGTAGCTACTCTGAACCCCTCAACCTGGACCTCGCGAAGTGCCCAAGACAAGATGGTCTTGTATAAGGATAAAGTAGAAAGGACAAATACTGACAACTCTCGTTTGCTCACGAGAAGTTTCCTTACCCTTGTGGCTGTCACTTCGACGAGGTCCTCCCAGGTTCTGCTTCTCTGGCCCTGTGTTTCCTTCCATCTGTGGCGAGAAGACTCACACTCGCTCATGACACACGCCCAGGTCATGTGTTGTGACCTGCCGTGACCTGGTGAGCTGACCCATAGACGATTCCATGAAGACGTTAATCCACACGAAGATACAACTCCTGTACCCCCGGCCTCGCCCACTCCCGGCGACACCCCCTCCCTCCCCCCCCCTATAAACCTTTAGTTATAAAGTCCTATTCAATAGATTTTCCTGAGTTGAGCCTCAGCGATGTGTCCCTCACCTGGCGTGGCTCTGATCCATGATACACCTGAACCATGTCGGAAGAGGCTACACCTCCCCGGTGCTCTTAAACTGCCTTAACTCGTTCATTCTTCTCAATCTATCTGTGGCGACGTTGTCATCTGTAGACTTGAGTGTGTGTGGAAGACCTTCGTCCCCACCACCACCGTCACCAGCTGGCAGCGTGGGACTCACAGGGACTGTTGCCTGGAATACTGTACCGATATACACTCGTCAACTCTCTTTTTTGACCATACAAATGGCTTTCCGTGTGACCATAAACTCTAAAGGAATCACGAACACTCACAAGAAAGATGTTTCCCGCGGTACATTATTTACAGCCAACGTTTCCTCCCAGCTTAAGAGAGAGAAACAGTAACCCCCTCCCCCTATGCCCACCCCCAGACACACCCCCCCTTAATAAGAAAAAAACTAAGGGTTCCTCCTGACAGTGGGCCTGGCCGGTCTCTCTGCATGCCTCCGGTGTCCGTCCGTCTCTCACGCTCAGCACCGTTGTTTCATTCCTTCGTTCCGCGTCTATTCTTTAATTTTATTGTTGTTTCCGTTTCTCAACACCACATCTGTCCTATGTTCCGTTCCCTCTGTCCCTCCTCTCCACCTTAACATACGAACGGTTATATAGTATAAGGCCTTGTGATGATAAGTAAATTATTATACCCTGAAAACCTTGGCATAGGAAGCGGTTGGTTAATGTACTTTATATTTATTATGGGGGGAGGGGGGTGTTGGGTCTGGGCCGGAGTAATTTATGTCACCTTACAGCGGCACCTGCCAACCATCACCACCAAACAGCAGAAAACGATGACATCACTACCAGAACTTTTTTTTTACTATTATTTTGGTTTAGATAAAACAGAATCCACTGAGCATGCTGCGGGAAACCTCTGCACACTAAATATCTGCATTAACTAGTTGACAGTCTTAGAGTTATTTGGTTTAATACACAAAGAGAATATAAAACATAAACTTTAGTTGTTTTGTGAATGTTTAGGAGCCTTCTGTTTGGTCTGACTCAACATAGTTGGTCTGACCCAGCACAGTTTTCTGCTTTTTTCTTGAGACCGAATCTGTTGATATTGAGTCCAGTTGTGTGAGTGCCACGTAAAGGAGACGTTAGAGCCGCTTGTCACATCAGCAGCAGTTTGCTTATTTTAATGGGACCAGATTTCCGTTATCCCAAATTAATGTTCTTGTC